TGAAAACATGAAGGTTTACACCTGATGAGTGAGGGTGTGGTCTATAACTCCCTCACACACATATTTTAATTATTCACTGTATTGAGCACCAGTCTACGGCCCTCGATCAGCCCTCTGCTTCGTTTGTGTTTAGATATGTGGCTCTTCATGAAAAAAGTTTGGACACCTCTGAGTTATGCTGTTGTTTTATGAATCCATTAATCCAAAGTCTGCTCGGAAAACTCTGCTCTGTTGTTGCATTTTGCCTGGATTGTTACGTCACAGGTAAAAGCCCAGACTTCTCCTTCTCCAGTTTGAGATAAACCATCTCTGGACTCATTCTTCAGTCAAATTGCGTTCACAGCTGTTACACTCTTAACTTTATTAACATCGCATTCACTAGCTCCATTTGTTTTATTTCTCATTGCTCATTCCTATTGCTGACAATAGGGGGAGCTGCAATGCTGAAATGCCTCATTAGAAACAGAGACGTAGTTTATAAAATGGGACAAACATAAGTTGGAAAATGTGAATTATTCATTTCAAGGTGATTCATTTCAAAAGCATGTTTAAGAGGGAGTTTTACTCAAATACTAAATAAGATGTAACATTACATAATGCATAACTTGTAATACATTTTCTTTCTTATGTTTATATGAGTCAATAAGTTTAAATTTTTTCCTATTTACCTGCAGTGTCACACCTTAAAAGAGAATTAACAGGACAGTCCAGAATTTTGGACATAGGACCTCATTTCCTAGTTAGACAGAGTGTTGGAGACGTGTGGAGACACTTTTTTAAATGCATCGCATGAGTCGTTGTATGTTGAGGGACTATTTTCTCATATATCAGTCCGCCGCTACCAAGCTTTCTATCAGGAAGTACAACTCACTGCTGTTGCTCAGACATAAATCCTTCAAATGCAAGGTTGGTTTTACTTCTAAAATTATTCTATCAACACAGACATTTACATCGACAGTCTAGTGTAATAATAGATTTTCTTCGGGTGTTTTGTGGAGTGGGTAAGACTGTTTTTAGTGGCAGGAGAACTATGACCATTGACATGCACTAGTCTAGCACCAGCGACCTCTGCAAATACAAGGACTGGATGGAATATTTTAAAAAGTGTCTCCACACGTCTCCAACACTCTGGCTCACTAGGAAATGAGGCCCTATGTCCAAAATTCTGGACTGTCCCTTTAAAGCCACAAGATTGCATAATGTGTTCTTTCATAGTATTGACTGCTGAAGAGGAGGAGATGGCACGGGTGAGGTGGCTGATGGTTTTTACAGCTATGGTCGACAAGGGCAAAGAAACAGCAGATTGAAGAAGATGAAAGACAGTGCATTTTTATGAACAGCTTGAGAGACAAAAGCTAAATCCAGTCTTATAAATATTCCTCAGCTTCAGAATTCTCAAAGGTTATTTTCTCACGTCACAGAGTATGAAAATAGAATCATTCTACAAGCACATTACTCACTTACGTTTGAACATTTCCAGTCTTTGGGGACAGCCAGGCGTCATTTTATCGGAGTTCTTACCATGTGCATAAAACAAGCCCAGAAGCTCACAAGTGTAGCCTCCAATCTGATTAAAGGAAGCTCTCAGGCGGCTCTCTCTGATACAGATCATTTCATTCACAATCACCATTTGGCACGTGTGGTTCACAGGATATTAAACTCAACTATTGCAGTCTAAACATAATTAGTACCACAATAATACACAGTAGGCTACCCTGTTCTGTCCATCTGTGATCTCAGCTGGAACGGTTCAATTTGGGTTCACTTACTGGTAATTTTATGCGAAAGTGTCCAGAATTTCACAGGCAAGCGATTCTTTTGGCCGACTAAGCAACGTTTTTATCAGCTATCACATACTGTTGTTAAACTAATGCGGTGAGAGACAGCTGTGGGTTTCATTTTAGCCAGGCGTATTAAAAATGAAGCGTGGAGAAATCAAATAAAAAGCTGCTATTGTGAATGTCAAAGTTCTCCTGAAGGGAACTCTACAAAAGCGTTTGGGATGAAAAGCTACTATAAAAATTAACATGGGTGAAGGTTCTTATTTATGTGGGCAAATTAAATTAAAAGTGTAACATATTTTTGACATACACATAATACATGCTAATTGCTATGCCCAAGCCATATATCATACAAAATGGAGTTTAAATGTGAGCTTTAAACCGTGTTAGAATATCAAGAACATACCCAGAGTTATGTTTTGTTTCATTCACACATGTTTGAGTAGCCCTTTATAATTATTCTGTCTACATCTCTAAAGCTCAAAATGCTCTGTTCCACCTTGTGATGTCATGTAGTGGTAGTTTTCAAGTTAACATCTACCTTTAGTTCAGTAGAGATTGACAGTTCGAGAGCCAAAATGATCCAAATGATTCTAGTGAAGGTGTATGGAGTTTAGAAACACAGTGGAGCACCTCATGTGTTCCATCCAGTCCTTGTATTTGCAGAGGTCGCTGGTGCTAAGCTACTGCATGTCAATGGCCATAGTTAGCCTGCCACTAAAAACAGTCTTACCCACTCCACAAAACACCCGAAGCAAATCTATTATTACACCAAACTGTCAATGTAAATGTCTGTGTTGGTAGAATAATGTCTGAAATAAAACTAACCTTGCATCACATTAATTGTCGCATGTTGAGGGACTATTTTCTCATATATCAGCCCGCTACTGCCAAGCTTTCTATTAGGAAGCATAACTCACTGCTGCTGCTCAGACATAAATCCTTCAAATGCAAAAACTAAAATTATTCTGTCAACACAGACATTTACATCGACAGTCTGGAGTCATAATAGTTTTGCTTAAGGTGTTTTGTGGAGTGGGTAAGACTGTTTTTAGTGGCAGAATAACGATGGACATGCACTAGTCTAGCACCAGCGACCTCTGCAAATACAAGGACTGGATGGAATATTTTAAAAAGTGTCTCCACACGTCTCCAACACTCTGGCTCACTAGGAAATGGGTCTTATTAGGAATGTAATGATAACTGAAATATCGTGATATCGTATCGTCAAAGGTCGCATCGTAATATCGTGGACCATCACAATATATCGAATCTCTTTGCTTAAATTAAGAGTTATGGTGCAGCAATAGCGCAAAAAAGACAGAGGGAACTACACAGACCATGATGCTTTGCTCCATTTCAGTGCAGACTACAAGAAAAAATAACAGTTCTAAACACTTTTAAGTCTTAGTTCTTTGGATTAAGTCTTTGTCAAGGCATTTTAAGAAGAAAAAGTAGCATATTAACAGTTTTGTTAACCTCCACAAAATATCGCAATAAATATCGTACCGTGAAGTTCATACTGTGATGATATCGTATCGTGAGACTTGTATCGTTACACTCCTACTGCAGGGCAAATTAAACAGCTGTGTTTTCCCAGCATGCACCTCTCTGCCTGTTAGCTGAACCGTACCTTGTATTTGATTGCAAAGTTAAAGCTGATTTTATTGAAACTTACAGTCCCAAAGAAAGTGCACTAATCTTGACTGACATATGCTCTCCTCCACATATGCACCTGCTCTAATACTGACACATAGTTCTGTACTTTTCATTTTCACTGAAGAATATTGACGAGGAAAACTATGGAGCAATACTTTTTGCACTTTCAAACAAGAAAAACTGTATTCATCAAGAAATGGCAATTCTGTTTGCAGATCTCTGGTCAAGTCAACAAACCATAAATAAAAACATGCAAATAAATAGTTTTTAAGTTTTATTTCATTTTATTTATTTACAATATGCAGCATAAAGCCAAAGCTCCTGCATCAAGGGACACATTAGTAACACACACATCTAACATATCATGTGAGGGATTCCACCAGAACCCAACTCCAACAAACACATTTAAATGTACATTACAAGAGTTTCAGTTTTAGTAACATAAACTTGAGTCAAGTTTAGGCTAAGAGAGTGAAAGCAGAAAATGTCTCCTGCCAACATATCATTGCAGCTTAAAGACACTTCACCAGAACTTGAAAGCGCTCAACAGTCCTGAGGAGCTCACTGATGGATTATATTTGAAGAAAGCTGCAGTTGCCAGTGCACGACCTCCACCAATGAACAGTACTTTTTTCCAATTGAAACTTGTGTCTTTGCTATTATCATGATCTGTTCCTCCAATTTCAATTTCAGGATCACTTTACTGGACATTTTTGGTTTGCATTTCTTGAATCTGAGGTTCATAGTGCCTTGATCTTTCTTCTAATTCAGAAATAGTTTTCAAATGCTCCTCTTCTTTGCGTTGCAGAGCTAATCAAATTTTCCTGCTCTTGAATTTGAGATTGGAGCATATGTTTTTCTTTCAGCAGTTCTTCAACTTTAGCCTCAGCTTTCTGCGAGACATTGTCAAAATATGTTATCATTTTCAAATGTACCTCCTCTCTCCCTCTCAGATTTATGATTGAGTCTTCCTGTCTGTCAATTTGGGATTGCATTTGTTGAATCTGTGCCTCAAACTTTGATTGGTCTTGCACTGATCTCTCTTTTAAATCTGAAATTATTTTCAAATGCTCCTCCTCTGTAGACTGTAGCTTTAAGAGTGAATCTTTCAGCTGTTGGATCTCAATATTTAGCTGCTCTTCCTTTGGTTTGTCCATCTCCTCAGGTTCGTCCTGATCTCTGCTTAGTTCCTGGGTAATTTCCATTTGAGACTGCAAAGCCAACTGAAATTCTTCAATGAAGGTGTTCGGTTGTAAAATGAATAATAAAATTCTTATAGTTTGCACACTGTAAACCCGGATAAGTTGAGTCAACTCAAAAATTATGTCGTAACTTTAACTCAAACTTTATTGGGTAATATGTTTAAAAATCTTTGTTTAATTGAATGTAAAAGTTAAATTTTTAGTAAACTCAACAGATTAGAATGTTTTTATTTTACGTTTAAATAACTTAATGTTTATAATTATTGTATGCTATATATTAATTTTGTTCAACTAAAATTGTATAGTTTCATGAGACTTAAATAATTATGTAAATTAATTTTTCTGTTGACAAACAATCCATGGTTGAAAATTTGGACATTTATTTAAAACTGTCCTTAACATTACAAATAGTTTTTAATACACATTAAGTGTCTTCAGTATTGCAGAGATTTTGGCATTCAATTATGGTTATTAAGCCATGTGCATGGAAAATAAAGTGCAACAATATCCATGACCCTCAATCTAATCTTAGAAATTGGTTTTGAGAATTAAGCTAAAACAATCAACATTAATTGAGGAGTTAACAAACTTGGAACTTCACTCTAAATAAAAAAACATTTTAGAACTTCAAGTCTTCAAAACAAGTGCCTGCATTTTACACTAGTTTAGTGGCAAATATAATCATCTCCCAATAGATTTCTATGTTCACAGTTATACTTCTGAAACTTCAAACATTCATTTAGGCCCAGCATTGCTAAAGTGCTTAAGGTTTGTACAATAAAGGGAACATAAAAACAAAAATCTCTCTTAGCAAATATAGCATACTTAATAAAATGTGGCATCAAACTAAGGTGACTGCTCTTTGAATGTTTTAAATCGGGAACACATCTCTAAAGAGCTCATTTTTCAGTGCGCGAAGGCATGGTTTCATCACAGAATTGTCATCAAGACATACTAGAATATTCTGGATGAAGGTAAAAGTGTTCACAAGGTTTTTTGGATACTCAATATTAAAGACATAGATGAGTCCAAACAGCAGCAGAAATGCCTCTGGCACAGTCGACAGCTGACTAAACACGACGTTTCCCTCAATGACAATTGAGAGATTTCCTGGTATGAACAGGTTTGGAGATGACGATAGTAGACCAAGTGGGCAGTCCGACACATCTGATTGACCATCTTGCTGCAAAATACAAGTGTTACAGTCAGTATGAGAGTGCTCACAATGAACAATCACAGAGAAAGTAAACTTAATATAATAATAAATGACAGTATAACCAAATAGCAGTCAATCATAGTTTTCTAATATTGAGATTACTTACATTACAGCTTTTATAAAAGTCTGTGTCATCCTCTCTCAAGTAGACTGAAAGCGCACGAAGTGACAGTGTGCGCCTCAAATTTATATCCTGTTCCTCCTTTTGAAAAAAAAAAAAAATTACTTTTAAAATACAGTACCCTGACAAAAGTCCTGTCGCTTATCCATTTTGTAGAAACAAAAGCTTATAACCTGACTTTAAATTAATCGATTGGTTTTAGAAATGTCTCATATGAAAGCTAAAACCCTCCCAAATTATGCTCAATATACTAAAATTAATTTGCTTCACTGAAGAAAGATTGATCATTTAATGAACACAGAAAGGTCAGATTTTGGAAAGACAAAAGTTTTGTCGCCTACAGAAAATTGAACAAATAAATTTACTTCAAATACAAAAATATGTTGCATAACGTCAGTGAATTAAGTAGTGGTGCTGTGAGATCCATATTTAATATCTTGTATGACTTCCATGAGCTTGAAGGACACATCCATGCAGTTTGACAATGATTCATACAATTTGTTGATGAAGTCATCAGGAATAGCAAAGAAAGCGTCTTACATGCCTCCCAGAGTTCATCAAGATTCTTTGGTTTTGCCTTCCATGCTTCCTCTTTCATTCTACCCCAGACATGTTCAATGATGTTCATGTCTGGTGACTGGGCTGGCCAGTCCTGGAGCACCTTGATCTTCTTTGCTTTGAGAAACTTTGATTTCGAGATAGAATTATGCGATGGAGCACCATCCTGCTGCAAAATCTGACCCCTTTTATGGTTGGGAATGTAAGAGGAGCTAATACTTCTTGATATTTTAAGCTATTGATATTGCCTTCCACCCTGCAAATGTCTGGCACACCCCCATACTGGATGTAACCCCAGACCATGATTTTTCCGCCACCAAACTTAACTGTTTTCTGGGTGAATCTTGGATCCATGGGGGCTCCAGTAGGTCTCCTGCAATATTTGTGGCAGCTGTGATGTAATTCAACTGAGGATTCATCTGAGAAATCCACCTTCTGCCACTTTTCCAGTGTCCATCCTTTTAGCAGGCTGTGGGCCTTGGCAAATGCCACACGGTTTTTTAATTGCCTTTTGTTTAGTGCTGGTTTCTGTGCACTGATTCGACCATGGAGGCCATTTCGAGACAGAATTCTACAAACTGTTGTGGTTGACACAGGGACTTGAGGTGACCGGGCCTGGTGGAGCTCTGCTGCAGTGGAAAAGGGGCCTTGGATTTTCAAATCAACAAACGGTCCTCCCGAGCAGTTGTCTTGTGGGGTCTGACGGACCTGGGCTTGTCAAAAACATCTCCAGTCATTTCAGATCTTTTTCTTATTCTTTGTACTTGACGCTGAGACACATTGAAGGTGTCACCACCTCAGCAGTGGATCTGGTCTTCAGCCTCTTGATAATTAACGCTTTGGTCTCAGGGTGGATCTTAGGCATGTTGTCAGAGGTCAAGTTGCAGTTGATGTGAAGGTCTAGTGTGCTGGGTTCTTTTTATACACACCCAGTAACTGATCACAGGTGAGGCTGTAATCTAGGATTGGGTGCATCATATGACAAGGCGACAAGACTTTTGTCTTTCCAAAATCTGACCTTTCTGTGTTCATTAAATGATCAATCTTTCTTCCGTGAAGCAAATTAATTTTAGTATATTGAGCATAATTTGGGAGGGTTTTAGCTTTCATATGAGACATTTCTAAAACCAATCGATTAATTTAAAGTCAGGTTATAAGCTTTTGTTTCTACAAAATGGATAAGCGGCAAGACTTTTGTCAGGGACTGTACTACATACATCTGAGATAGTAAACACATTTCCACAGAATATAATACCTGCATATCATATTCTCTGAGGATTCTCTGCAGGGCCTCTGGAATCTTTCCTGTGCGAGAAGCCTTCTGCCTGTACAGAGCAACCAGTGATTTTGTATGACGATCAAGCTCTGCGTAGAATGTATTGCGGAGATTCACATTGGTGATGCGATGGAACTCCGCAAACACCTGAAAACACAAAATATGGGTACAAGTAGTTATATTTTCAAATTGGACATATCAAAAAACGTTTGTTTTTAAAGTGTACCTGTGACTCCATGTTAAGGGCGGGCCATCGAGCCAGTAGATCCTTTATTGTTTTATCTCCAGTGACAATCTCCTGCCGTCTAGGTGCAAATGTTGTCTGCATGCCTCTTCCAATGAGAAGCTGATTTCGTTCTGTCTTTTCCATTTCTTCGATCACTTCTAATCTTGTCTGCTCCAGGAATATTTGGTTCTCGCCTCTGGGAAAGTTTGGAAGAAAGTTGACTTCAGACTTCCTTGGTTTCTTGATATTGGAATGGGGGTGTTCACTTGCTGGACTGTTTTTGCTTCTTTTGCCTGTGTTAATTGACACTTCTGCACAGCCAGAATGAGGATTTTCCCATCTTGTGTTTTAAAAGGATTTTCATGGGTGCGCAGTAACTAAAGCCTCAGCTGCTTTGCCCACCTCTCTGTCATTTGGATAAGCTTTGTAACTAAAAATCGTTTCAGCCATTTTGTCTAAAATATTTGACTTTTGGTTCCTAGTTAATTTCAGTGTTTTTCCAGAATCTCTAAACACTTTGTTTCCTTCTTCAAGCACATACTCAACATCCATAGGAAATACAGGCACAATAAAAGTGCTAAGCCAGTGCTTTTGACGCTGGTGCAATGGCACATGAGGTAGGATATCAGTGTCTGAACTGGCCACTGAAGAGTCATCACTCTCAGAGCGGACCACTTTCAATGTTCCCTTTTCTGGAAGTTCATCAATGTCTACAAGACAACTTAGCATCCCATCAAAGTCTGGGTCCTCATAATGAAGTGAAAAGTCACCATCGAGTCTTGGTCTGAACTTGTTTCTCATTATGGTCTTCAGTTCTTCTACAGATTGTGGGCGCTGTGTAAGTGTTAGCTTCATGGCTACATCCGTTGACACATAAACACGGAGCAAGTACTTCTGGGTGGTAGTCATCCTTTGTTGATAAGTCTGTATACAAAAATGATGCACATTTTAATGGTCATTGCATTGGGTTACATCAGTACAAAAAAAGGACATTAGTTGCATAGATTTAGACTCCATTTAGCAATATGAAATCTTCTCTGTGTTATGAGGAGTCTCCCTTCCAAGTTGTATGCAAATAAAGGCAAAGCATCATTTAGTTCAGCTATGGTACATACTATCATATTCAAAGGGGAGAGCTCAAAAGATCGTAAATGCTCAACTTAATTGGATTTGTGATCTCGTGCAAGAAAAGTGACCTGGTTATCCACAAGAAGAATGCTTTCAATTTTGCTAAATCGTGGCAAGCCCCCTTCATGGCCAACAGAGACAAACATGCCAACAGCATAGTCAGAGCCATTAACATTTACTTTTGATGTAGAATGAATCATGTTACTTTGAGTCTTTTGTTTAACATATTCCATTGCAACTCTGGGAAGTGTTGAGACGAGCACAGAAGTGACACTGGTAGCTTGCTGGTGAGGTTTAAAGAATGATGGAGAGCTAAGGTAGAATGCGACCATTTGTTGATGTCTAGTTGCTAATGTTTTCAAAACATTTTTAAAGTTTTGTGTGTCATGGACAACTCTCTTAAAAAATCTGTTGAAAAAAGTTGCACAGGTCACATGCAAAAGGGACTTGATTCTTTTTTCTTTCCAATTTTCTTGCATTATGATAGCGAGATACATGGGCTTTGATGGCATTAAAAGATGAAAATGTGCAAATACAATTGTCATACAAACAGGGCAAAGGGCTGACTTTGGAGTAACTGCCATGTTTTAGGCGGTAATGTCTAAAGAGTTCTGCTTGTGTGCCCCAAGATATAGGACATAGTTTGCACTTCCATTCCAGTGAATCACAGCCTCCCTGAAATATGTAAAAGGCAGCCAAACTAAATACATCTGCTCAATTTTAAAAATCCCCCTGATCTCTGCAGAAATCAATTAAATCTTACCTCAGCCATATAACTGAAAAGCGGATGTTGGACAGTGAACGTCTGATCCAATGTGTTGCTGCAAGAAAAGAAAAGAAAAATGTGTGTTAATGTATGCAATACTTCCCTTTTGTTTTGGTTTATTTTGGTTCCTGTAATATATATATTTACTTGAAAGCAATCAGTATTATTAACTCAGCACCAAAGCAGCACTGATGTAAAAGTACCATAAGCATAATTCAGTATTAGTATATCAATACGCAATCCATTACTTTTCATTAAAAAATTTTAGAAGATTAGATTTAGATTTTAGATTCTTCAGATTTCTTTTACTGATGGAAACTGGTCAATACATATATGCAAAACATTACCAATGAGAAGAGAATAAGACCATTTATATAAAAAGGGGAAGAATATATACAATTATTCTACTTTACCACAAAATCAAACTTCAAACTTCCTCTTTATCCTGCAAAACACATGATCGCAATTAAAAATAAATTCAGTACTGTGTAATTAACATTTAATTGAATTCGTGGATAGGAAGAATCAGTAAATAAAATAAGTAATAAGTAAAATGCGTGTACTTGTGGTGTGTTGGCATGCTAAATTTCACATCATACTAACAAATGACTATCATTTAAATTATTTTGTTATCACGTTAACCTAAATTACATTTCATCAGAACCCGCATGTCCTCCGCACACATTCAGAACCGCGTAAGTTAGCTCATCGCCTGTCTAGGAGTGGCAGACTTCACCAATCACCGCAGATTCTGGATCAGAGCCCGGTGTGGGGCTTGCCATTCTCCCCGCAGCGGCGCTCTGAAGTGATGTGCTGCCGGGACATGGAAAGTTTGCACGGGTGCGCGCACGTCCCATGTCCCGGAGCCGCTTTGAGAAGCGGGGAGGGCGGCTACCCGAGTCCGCTCATCAAATGTGAAGTTGCCGCACCGACCGCATTGTTAAAAACACAATCTGAACTGCATAAAAAGTTTACCTACCAAAGACGGTAACAAATGAGGGGGAGTGCTGCCACACTTTTCACTATCAGGGGAGCAGATTGCTGATCTGCGCGGTCCGCGGCACCACGTGGACTTCAACTTGCTAGCACCACAGGTTCTCAGAAACGGCGAACTTAGCTGCGTTAAACACTGGCAAACAAATAAAGTTATACTTCTATTTTTGATCAAGAAAACAAGAACCTGACAGAAAATATGCAATTTAAAGTAGATACTAGTGATGTGACGTTCCGTGTCGAGTCTTCGAAGCGTGTGCCGAGTAGGGAGTTGGCGTTTCCGCGAAGCGCTTATCGAGGCTTGATTCATTTAGGGGAGGAGCTGAAAATGATGACGTCCGAAGCCTCGCTGCCCGGCTGTACCACGTGACTGATTCAGGAAGTGGTTCGGGTTTTGCCCATGGATCTATTAAGGTTTTGCCGCAAGTTTTGACAGCGATATAAACTGCTCAGTCTTCATTCAAAATGTGGGTGTTTGATGGAGAGTTGCGATCAGTGAGAGTTTGGAAGTTTGGAGACAGTTTAAACTCACAAAAAAACAATTCTTATTTCTTAGGTAACAACCTGTGGTGTCGCCTGGATGACAGAGTCAGGCAGACACAAACACAAAATGTAATAGCAGACGCAAATACTGAGGTCCAACGGTGCATGATGGAGCCAAATATTGGAAGGCTGGAGGACCCCCTTCAATACTGGGAGAGACAGAAATATGTCTATCCCCATTTATATAAATTAGCAGTGGCATTCTTGTGTACGCCTGCCTCATCTGTGCCCTGTGAGCGGGTGTTTTCGAAAGCAGGAGAAATATTGTCAAAAAAAAGAAATCGCCTGAGACCTGCCACAGTGGAGAAACTGTTGTTTTTAAATAAAAACCAATGATGTGTCCCCTGAACCATAATCACCCAACGTTACAAAAGCACAATCAATGTCCATACTCCAACCCCAACCACCCTCACCTCACTGTAAATGATCATTAGCTTTTTCATAATTTCCAAATAATAATTTTCCATACTGCCAGTATATATATATAAAAGTATTTATATTCATATATATTTATATATATACACACACAGTATACATCACTACAATATACATGTTTTGCATACTTCTTTACTTTGCTGACAGTTTTATTCACAGGCTTTTTGCAAAATGCAACACACTTCAAATTCATGTTAACTGATATTTTTTGCATCCAGTAGATGTCCTACTAGAGCAAATGAAGCTTCAGGAAGCTTTGCACCAGAGTGAACCAATTGGATGAAAGGCTTCAATGCTTCATGAAGCTTCATCTGCCCATCACTAGTAGATACTTAACAAATTTTGCGCCACAATCTTATCCGCTTCAGCCAGCCATCTTGAATTTTCCAACTCCATGCTTTTTTTAATTTTTTATTATTCACATTTTTTTATTCAAATCTGCAATCAAAAGTGCAATTAAGACAACTGCCACATGTAAACATCTGATTGAGTTAATAAAAGTGAATCTTATATCTCTGAGAATGTTAGATCTTATGCCATTAATAATGTGGCACTTCAGAAAAGGCTTAAATACAACAGAAGATGTGTTATGATATGTAGATTTGCAATAAGCACCAATTTGAATTAGAATTATTTACTTCTAGTGCAATGGCTTTGGTTCATCACCCACACCTCCAGCGAGATGGTAGACTGCCAAACTTACTTCATGTGCAAGGGCATCAGTGCTCTCCTAAAACACACATTGTTTCAAATTATTACTTAAATTCAATGACATCTGCAACTTATTTGACATTCAATATTCAGTACATTTACATGGACAGAGATAAATAGCATTTTCAGATAAGCCAATAGTCAATAGTCAGATCTGTGTTTACATGCACAGACCAAAGCAGATAATCCAAAACATCAGGTGAATGGCAGTTAATGAATGGGTTTTCAAAGTTACAGGAGTATTTGGTATTGAAACTACAATTATTATTTTTAAAGAATGTATTAAATTTGAATACTTTCAAATTATTTACATATTGTCTTTACTTTAATTGTCTTTTCTCACATTATATCACCTTTTTGTTGTATTGTCTTTCTTTTTTTTGCTATTTACATTTCAATGAAAATCTCAGATAATCAGATAATGATTATCTTATCAGTGTTCATGTAGGTGTGGTTTGTGATCCAGATAATTACTGGACATTTACTTTCAACATGGTTTCTAACCTGAGTGTCTGCCTCTGCATAGACTCTGACCACGTCTTCAGTGCCAGAGGGTCTGACGAAAGAGCGTGCCAGACTATACTTGTTCACCAAGGCATCAATGGCATCCTGCAAACCTGCCGGGCTCACTACTCGCCTCTCTGCATCTGTTGTGTCAATTACTCTACGGTCTGCAACCTGCACAACAGTAGCCAGATTATTCATGGTACAAAAAATAAAACCAACACAGGTCAGAAAGTACAGTGTGGCATGCTTGCAATAACATTGTTTTTAGGGAAAGTATTACAGGTTCTGCTCAGTGACTTACACTGTACTTAAACTTAATAATGTAGTAATACAGGACTGTAAAGTTAAATATTACCCAAGTCTTAAATCTTTACCTTAACTTTTAGCTGCCTGTTTGGTAGATCAGTGTAGATCGCATCCCACTGCTGGACTGTCATTCCTTTGATGGCCAATATGGCTTCAATTAGCAGCATGTCAGAGATGGCATCTCCTACAGTCTGATTGATAACATTAATGGTGTTCTGAAGCAGGAGAGCTGCTCTCTTATTTTCATCATCACTGTTTGGATTGTCAATGAGCTGCTGGATTTTGTCTTCTGCAGATTTACTGAAGAGCACTGTTCCATGGCCATTAGCTTCAAAGTACACGCCTATGTCAAACTCCTGTGCTACATGGTGGAGATGTTTGACCCCAGTTTTAGTGCATTTTACAGTTAACTTCATAGTTTCTTCAAGATACCTTGTTGAGCCTTCCATTAGCATATGCAGTTTGCACTACTGCCATATTCAAATTCAGGCCTGCCTGTGTGAGCAGTTCTTTTAGAAAAGTGCTGATAAGTGTTGCTATTTTATCTCCATCCAGCAAGTGGAACTGTCCTTCAGAGTCACTGTAGTAGTAAACAATGCGGTCAGCATCACCATCAAAAGAACAGCAGCGTTCCCCAGGTTTAATCTCAAATCCTGTTGGAGCTTTCTGCTGTACTTTCACAAAATCTGCTCCACATTGATAATTCAGCTTCCCATTGCTGCCGTCATTATACAGAGAGATCTGTAGCTCTTTGGCTAAGTGACTCTCCATCTCCCTAACCTTCAAAGCTCCAATCCCATTAGCACCATCCAAGGAAAGATGCTTCTGGTCGTCAGTGCAGTTTGATGCATTCTTGATGAGCTTTATGAATGCCTGACAAAGCTTCTTGTAGTAGCCTTCCACTGTAGCTTTTCCATATTTCCCTTGAGTATTTTGGCAGCAAACCATGTAATGAAGCTGTGGAGTCGTAACCAGGCCATAGTCTTTACTGAGACCACCAAGAGAAGAGACGCCCTCCAGGACAGCTTTTGACAGACTGGCACTGCTGCTCCTGGTGTCCCTGCCCACAAAAACATTTGCTTCTTGGCTCATGTTTATTTCCTCCTTTGCTATTATGTCCTTCAAAGCTGTGAGTAAGTCTTCATTTTCAGCATTGGCCAGTTGTGTAGCATAGCCCTCCCAAGTTGGAGTAACCATCTCTCCCATTGGGTCAACCAGCTTCACACCATTATCCTCCTCTGGGTTGTGTGATGCTGTAACCATAACTCCAATGGTGGCTTTAGTTTTCTTGGAGCGCAGTGTGGCCAGCAGTCCCATCCTGAACATGATGTGGTCCAAGACTTTGGCATTGGTCCTGAATCCAGCTGTGCCATACTGTAGAACCAGACCGGGAGGCTTTGGGTGCAGACTGGAGAGTTTGGTTACTTCAGGAAACAGGGCAGACATGTTTGCTTGGAGAGAATTACAAATGTAGCGCTTGGCATTGGGAAGACTTCCTGCTCCTCCCTTTCCAACTCCATGCGTCCAGCAGACAGAACGTTCGATGACGTCATGACGTAAAATCATAGCTAACTCAAATATTATGACAGACACAAACGGCAAACTCATAAATTCTATCCCAGATGGAACTAAATTCATGTATGAATGTTTAGAACTCATATGATTTGCACTTTCAGAGCTCTTTTTTTGAAATTATGACTGGAGAGTTTAAAAAACTTATGAGTTAGTTCAGTGTCTGGGTTTACAGTGCAGTTATACTGGGCTTCGTCTGAGACGTTGTGTGTTCGCTCTGGAGTCTAGTTTTAAATGACGTCTAAACAGAGACCAGTCCCCCATACACGATTTTGGAGATGACATCATAAAGCTTTTCTGTGAACTTTCTGTGGAATGTTGCCATGGTAACCAGTCCAGTGGTCTTCTTGAGTCATAAAGCCACATCCTGTCTTTTCTTTGACCATTTTGATGTTAAGCTCGCTGCCTAGGCTTATGTTGGGAAACACTTAACTGATGGCAGAAGAGTAAAAAAGATTATCTACACGCCACACAAACGCGCTACTGCGTTAACTCCAAACACATTTAACCTTAATCTACATTAACTTACGCAAACTATCAACTGTATCCAGAATGTCAAAAGGCAAGGTATCTGGAAACAAAGGCTCATATGACTGTGACAAAAAGGAGCAAGGAGGACGAATACCTGTGTACTACAAATGTGGCCTGATGATCGACACCATACAGGACGTCTTGAGGCAGAGACCAGGATGGGTAGAAGTCAAAGATGGTGGAGAGTGGGATTTTAACTGGTGCGATGTGGGCTCGCTAAGAGAAAACTTTGATCATTCTTACATGGAGAAGCATGTAAGAATAAACCATTTCCACAACTATTATGAGCTGACTCGCAAAAACTTGATGGTGAAAAATCTTAAGAGGTATCGAAAAGGCACTGAAAAAGAGGAAGACCCCGTGGAGGCGTCCAAATGTGATTTTTTTCCCTGTACTTTCGCACTTCCCAGTGAATATCATCTTTTTGTAGAGGAGTTTAAAAGAAGCCCTGGCAGCACCTGGATCATGAAACCAGCTGCAAAGTCTCAAGGGGAAGGTATTTTTTTGTTTAAGAAATTAAAAGACATCACAGACTGGAAGAAGGATGGTAATCGCTCAGAGGATGCAGCT